AAAAGAATTAGAACAGGGTAAACATTACAAAGTATGTAATGTAAACTGTGGTTACACTATGAATGATTACAAAATCAAGATTGTGCTATGGAGATCATGCCGTCCTCTTGGCTGATACTGAGGGTTGCATACATTGGTTAACACAGGCATTTAACATTGCAGCCGAAGAAGTGAATACTGAGCAAAGATTGCGAAATCAGATACAAACTGTTGCCGAGGCAATCCGCCAACACTCTGATTCAAGCCGCGCTAGTGGGACATCGTCGATTCAGCGAGTTCAATTGTGTATAGAAAATATTGGAAACAACTTGGAACTCTTACTTTAATGTCATTATAAAATCTTATAAGTATTCTTCATTTGAAAGTAAATTTCATGGATATCTTAGAAACTAAAAAACTTTTGCTACAATTTTCTTTACCTATCACTCATTATTTGTCATGAGGAATAAATCCCCAAGTATAGAGACTTCATAACTTTCTTATATGATACAGAGAAAACTCCAAGATCATATCAAATCCATAGGAAATTTTCTGCTCTATACGGTGGTATATAACTTTAGTAGATCGCATGGTTGCATAAGCAGTTTCCCTCAAAAACTGCAAAAACCGCGTATAATTATTAATTATAGTATGTAAATGTTCACGGCGTCATAACTTTCTTATATGATATGGACAAAACTCCGAGATCATATCGAATCTATAGGTAATTTTCCGTTCTATTCAGTGGTATATAACTTTAGTAGATACCATAGTTGCAGTACCATTTCCCCTCAAATACTACAATATTCGCATATAATTACTGTATGTAAATGTTTGCAACGTTATATCTTTCTTATATGATATAGACAAAACTCCAAGATCATATCAAATCCGTAGGAAATTTTCCGCTCTATACGGTGGTATACAACTTTAGTAGATCGCATGGTTGCATAAGCAGTTTTTCCCAAAAACTACAAAAACCGCGTATAATTATAGTATGTAAATGTTCACGGCGTCATAACTTTCTTATATGATACAGACAAAACTCCAAGATCATATCAAATCCATAAGAAATTTTCCGCTCTATACAGTGGTATATAACTTTAGTAGATCGCATGGTTGCATAAGCAGTTTTTCCCAAAAACTACAAAAACCGCGTATAATTATAGTATGTAAATGTTCACGTCGTCATAACTTTCTTATATGATATGGACAAAACTCCGAGATCATATCGAATCTATAGGTAATTTTCCGTTCTATTCAGTGGTATATAACTTTAGTAGATACCATAGTTGCAGTACCATTTCCCCTCAAATACTACAATATTCGCATATAATTACTGTATGTAAATGTTTACGACGTTATAATTTTCTTATATGATACAGACAAAACTCCAAGATCATATCAAATCCATAAGAAATTTTTTGCTCTATACGGTGGTATATAACTTTAGTAGATCGCATGGTTGTATAAGCAGTTTCCCCCAAAAACTGCAAAAACAGCGTATAATTATAGTATGTAAATGTTCACGGTGTCATAACTTTCTTATATGATATGGATAAAACTCCGAGATCATATAGAATCTATAGGCAATTTTTCGCTCTATACAGTGGTATATAACTTTAGTAGATACCATAGTTGCACTACCATTTCCCCCCAAAAACTACAATATTTGCATATAATTACTGTATGTAAATGTTTACAACGTTAGATCTTTCTTATATGATATAGACAAAACTCCAAGATCATATCAAATCCATAGGAAATTTTTCGCTCTATACAGTGGTATATAACTTTAGTAGATCGCATGGTTGCACAAGTAGTTTCCCCCAAAAACTGCAAGAACCTTGTATAATTATAGTATGTAAATGTTCACGGCGTCATAACTTTCTTATATGATAAGGTAATTTTTCGCTCTATACAGTGGTATATAACTTTAGTAGATACCATAGTTGCAGCACCATTTCCCCTCAAAAACTACAATATTCGCATATAATTACTGTATGTAAATGTTTACGACGTTATAATTTTCTTATATGATACAGACAAAACTCCAAGATCATATCAAATCCATAGGAAATTTTCCGCTCTATACAGTGGTATATAACTTTAGTAGATCGCATGGTTGCATAAGCAGTTTTTCCCAAAAACTACAAAAACCGCGTATAATTATAGTATGTAAATATTTATGACATCATACCTTTCTTATATGATAGGGACAGAATTCCGAGATCATATCGAATCCATAGGCAATTTTCCGCTCTATACAGTGGTATATAACTTTAGTACATCGCATGGTTGCACAAGCAGTTTCCTCAAAAAACTGTAAAAACCGCGTATAAGTAGAGTATGTAAATATTTATGACGTCATAACTTTCTTATATGATAGGGACAAAATTCCGAGATCATATCGAATCCATAGGCAATTTTCCGCTTTATACAGTGGTATATAACTTTAGTACATCGCATGGTTGCACAAGCAGTTTCCTCAAAAAACTGTAAAAACCGCGTATAAGTATAGTATGTAAATATTTATAACGTCATAACTTTCTTATATGATAGGGACAAAATTCCGAGATCATATCGAATGCATAGGCAATTTTCCGCTCTATACAGTGGTATATAACTTTAATACATCGCATGGTTGCACAAGCAGTTTCCTCAAAAAACTGTAAAAACCGCGTATAAGTATAGTATGTAAATATTTATGACGTCATAACTTTCTTATATGATAGGGACAAAATTCCGAGATCATATCGAATCCATAGGCAATTTTCCGCTCTATACAGTGGTATATAACTTTAGTACATCGCATGGTTGCACAAGCAGTTTCCTCAAAAAACTGTAAAAACCGCGTATAAGTATAGTATGTAAATATTTATGACGTCATAACTTTCTTATATGATAGGGACAAAATTCCGAGATCATATCGAATCCATAGGCAATTTTCCGCTCTATACAGTGGTATATAACTTTAGTAGATACCATGGTTGCACTACCATTTCCCCCCAAAAACTACATTATTCGCATATAATTACTGTATGTAAATGTTTACGACGTTATAATTTTCTTATGTGATACAGACAAAACTCCAAGATCATATCAAATCCATAGGAAATTTTCCGCTCTATACGGTGGTATACAACTTTAGTAGATCGCATGGTTGCATAAGCAGTTTCCCCCAAAAACTGCAAGAACCGTGTATAATTATAGCATGTAAAAGTTCAGGACGTCATAACTTTCTTATATGATAGGGACAAAACTCCGAGATCATATCGAATCTATATTCAATTTTCTGCTCTATACAGTGGTATATAACTTTAGTTATAAGAGTAATGAGAAAGTGGCTATAACTACCATTTACAGAATATGCTCAAAACTGTTCCAACATGTTCTACCAATGGGTTGTGGAAGACATTATAAGCACTGATATTGTGCTATCTATGTCGTCAGATTTGGTGGAATCACTATCAGTGATTAATACTCGATACCAGATTCTACTACCTGAACGGCAGTCCTGGATCGAAAACGAAAATTCTTTGGTTCAGGCACACATTTGCATGTATATTGCCAGACACTACGGATTAAACAACCTTAACGCCTGGGTACATACTGTAGTGTATTCCAGGCGAAAGTATTTGCTATTAACATGGATGCTTCTTGAAAGATTCGTGTCGGCTCTGGTTAATGACTGTACAAGAACTTTAAACACACTAAGTTATGATAACAGAGTTTTTCTAATCTGGGTACCAGGTCACTTTGGGGTTGCTAGCAACGTAGCGGCAGATGAGGTAGTATGAGAGGGCAGCGCTAAAGTGTTTGTGGGACCAGAGCCAGCACTTGATATATCATTTGCGATGGCCAAACATGTCATCGGGACAGTTCTCGTAGAATGAGACACGCTAAGTTGTTTATTAACACCGTCACTATCAAATCAGGGAATATTTCTTTATGCTCGTAGCAGTATAAAAGTTCTAATGGGTGTCTTTACTGGGCACTGCCAATTAAAGACACACTTTTATATCAGATTACACAGTCGAATTCAAATGAACCCAGTCTCATCCCAATGATATTTTATACTTGTTTTGGTTTATGATTTACTCATGTAAATTTTGGTAACTTCAGAAATCATTATTGTTTCATTTTTCATTTAATTTAAGAACTCCTGTTGATTATGAAATTCAATGGAAGAGGTGAAAATTTTTATGTAGGTTAAAATTGAAATTTTAATCATCCCCCTGTTTGTAATTAGCAGTTTCAGTTGACTGCACACGTAGCCGACACGAAACGCTTTTATTTCCCGAAAACGAAACAAACCGTCTAGCATCAGACAAAGATACAAACTCCCCAACACTTTCCGGTTGTCTCTGTGTGTGTTGCGGAAATTTGGTTAATAAAAGCTGCAGCCCCTTTCGTTACGGGTCACCGGTATAGGGCGCGCTCAAAATTATTATTCGCCGACCGTATTTCGTATAATTAACGGCGAATTACGAGGTCAAAAATTGGGGGCAAACATTTTCACACATTTCCAGCTTTTTTTTTAGATTAATATTAGAAATTGTTTAGTTGGGAAAGTTGGGGAAGGATTTTTGATTAAATACTTCAACTTGAGAACGTTTCTCTCTCTGGAGACGGCGGCTGTAAGACATAAAACCTGCAGCTGACGTCGGATCCGTATCAAATAATCTCTTTGGGGATGAAGAAGTGGTCAATTTAAAATAATTCTTTGATTAAAACATTAATAAAAACTAATGATTTTGTTTGTGTATTTTGAAATTTATTGTTATTTGATGTTTTCTGGTTATGCAAAATTTTATCTGTTTTATTCGAGATAAAAATCGTTATTTTCGTATTTGTCAAGCGGTTTTTAATTAATAAATTTAAATGAACCGGATCGAAATTTTCCCTCTCCATCACTTTGCCTCGTTTTAGCTGAAACCGTACTGAAACCGGGATCACTTTTCAGACAGTCCGCGTCGGGCTTTCGTTGAACCAACAACTTCTCGAGCCCCAACATCAAAATTTCGCGCTCTTTTATTCTCGTAACATAAATCATTTAACATTAATAAAGTGATAACTTTAAATAAAAAAAAGGATATGTTGGACGAAACATTTAAAGTAAGTTATTTTTTTTATATTTAACCAATTTATATCGTTATCTTTGATAAGGACATTGATTTTTACGATATTGTCCAATAAAAAAATCACCAGCGCATTTTCCGCGCCGTTAAGCTGTATTCCCGAGTCATCTGATTGTGTAATCCTAACTTAACTACTTCAAAGCTTGAACCTCATCCAAAAGAACCCAGACGGCTATTTGTCTCTTGAGTCTCCAATTTTTAAATCACCCACTCCTGAGCTTATCTCAATTAGTTTTAGTACCATTAGAGAAGTTAATGAAAACAAAGAACTCTACTTTCAAAATTAACTTGTATTACTATATTTCATATCTATAACAATGAAATAATGTTGAACTGAAAAGTTGCTTCATTAAATTTGCTTTAAACCGTTTTTTATTTCATGATGATATCTCAATTAGTTTTTGAGATATGTAAAGATTAATTACCCTAACACTTATGTTTAAGGTTATGCAAGGTTGCGTTCAAAAATTCATAAATCTCAAACTTCAAGGTTCGAAGAAATGATATTCAAAATGTTGAATACTAAATAAATTTGCTTTAAATTGCTTTTTATTTCATGATCTCCATATTTTATTACTTAGTCGTCTTCGGCGTCTCATTTTACATCTTTTATATTCCATATGTCCTATGCCTAACATTAATAGTTTGAGAAATAATTAGGGTTTTNTACTTTCAAAATTAACTTGTATTACTATATTTCATATCTATAACAATGAAATAATGTTGAACTGAAGTATTTCATGATGATATCTCAATTAGTTTTTGAGATATGTAAAGATTAATTACCCTAACACTTATGTTTAAGATTATGCAAGGTTGCGTTCAAAAATTCATAAATCTCAAACTTCAAGATTCGAAGAAATAATTTTCAAAATGTTGAATACTAAATAAATTTCCTTTAAATTGCTTTTTATTTCATGCTGATATCTCAACGCGTTCTTGAGATACGATTGTTTAAAGTTTATTTACATATTTATTACAATGAAATAGTGTTGAATTGCAGAGGTGGATTTAAAAAATCATAATAGCGATGTTTATGGAAAATAAGAAATTATTTATGGCACATTAAATTTGCTTCAAACTGTTTCTTATTTCATGATGATATCTCAATTAGTTTTTGAGATATGTAAAGATTAATTACCCTAACACTAATGTTTAAGGTTATGCAAGGTTGCGTTCAAAAATTCATAAATCTGAAACTTCAAGATTCGAAAGAATGATATTCAAAAAATCGAATACTAAATAAATTTGCTTTAAATTGCTTTTTATTTCATGATGATATCTCAATTCGTTCTTGAGATACGATTGTTTAAAGTTTATTTACATATTTATTACAATGAAATAGTGTTGAATTGCAGAGGTGGATTTAAAAAATCATAATAGCGATGTTTATGGAAAATAAGAAATTATTTATGGCACATTAAATCTTCATTAAATTTGCTTCAAACTGTTTCTTATTTCATGATGATATCTCAATTAGTTTTTGAGATATGTAAAGATTAATTACCCTAACACTAATGTTTATGGTTATGCAAGGTTGCGTTCAAAAATTCATAAATCTGAAACTTCAAGATTCGAAAAAATGATATTCAAAATATCGAATACTAAATAAATTTGCTTTAAATTGCTTTTTATTTCATGATGATAACTCAATTCGTTCTTGAGATACGACTTTTTAAAGTTTATATTTCATATCTATAACAATCAAATAGTGTTAAATTGCAGAGTTGGATTTAAAAAATCATAATAGCGATGTTTATGGAAAATAAGAAATTATTTATGGCACATTAAATCACCATTAAATTTGCTTCAAACTGTTTCTTATTTCATGATGATATCTCAATTAGTTTTTGAGATATGTAAAGATTAATTACTCCAACATTTATGTTTAAATCGTTGTAGCCATTATTTCTTTCCATTTTATTCATTAAATGTAATAAAATACTATTTATTGTTTTGTACTTTTTATTAAAATGGATGTTATTGTGTTTTAATTCCACCGGTTTCGATTTTCTACAAAACCATCTTCAGGACCTTCGAATTACGTCAGTTTATTAAAAAAAAATCATTCTAACCTAAAATTAAGACAAACACGTGCACATCTAATCCTGCCCGATGATTAAAAGCAGAATACACAATCCTTAAAAATGGTGACATTAATCTATATAAATATAAAAAAGCTTAATACACAAGAAAAGATTCAATATGATAAGTACCACAATAGATTTTTTTAAATAAACTGGCGTAATTCAAAGGTCTTGAAGATGGTTTTGCAGAAGACCGAAACCGGTAGAATTAAAAAACAATAACATCCATTTTAATAAAAAGTACAAAACAATAAACAGTATTTTATTATATTTATGTTTAAGGTTAAGCAAGGTTGCGTTCAAAAATTCATAAATCTCAAATTTCAAAATTCGAAGAAATAATATTCAAAATGTCGAATACTAAATAAATTTGCTTTAAATTGCTTTTCATTTCATGATGATATCTCAATTCGTTCTTGAGATACGACTTTTTAAAAGTTTATATTTGATATCTATAACAATCAAATAGTGTTGAATTTTAGAGTTGGATTTAAAAAATCATAATAGCGATATTTATGGAAAATAAGAAATTATTTATGGCACATTAAATCTTCATTAAATTTGCTTCAAACAGTTTTTTATTTCATGATGATATCTCAATTAGTTTTTGAGATATGTAAAGACTAATCACCATAACATTAATGTTTAAGGTTATGCAAGGTTGCGTTCAAAAATTCATAAATCTGAAAATTCAAGATTCGAAGCAATGATATTCAAAATGTTAAATACTAAATAAATTTGCTTTAAATTGCTTTTTATTTCATGATGATATCTCAATTTGTTCTTGAGATACGATTGTTTAAAGTTTATTTACATATCTATAACACTGAAATAGTGTTGAATTGCAGAGTTGGATTTAAAAAATCATAATAGCGGTGTTTATGGAAAATAAGAAATTATTTATGGCGCATTAAATCGCCATTAAATTTGCTTCAATCTGTTTTTTATTTCATGATGATATCTCAATTCGTTCTTGAGATACAATTTTTTAAAAGTATCTATTTCAAATATATAACAATTAAACATGCAGAGTTGAGATTAAAAGATCATAACCACGATGTTTAGAGAAAATAAGAAATTATTTATGATGTTAATAATAAATATGTTATAAAGTTGAAAAACAAACCGAGTAAAAATAATAAATGATACCAACGTTTTTGACTATAAATCGGTTAAGATCCGACTTTTAGTCGTTACCGTGGCATTTTTGGAGTAAGATACCTCTCTTGGGTTCCGTTTTGGAGGTGGAATACTCTTTATTTATTTCAATGGGATGGTCGTAAAAATAGATTAATTTACTTTTTTAAAGTTACGTCCCATAAAGCAAAATAATTTCAGAAACTAATCAAACTGATAACAGGTATTCTAGCAACTATTGAAATGGAATGATAATAATATCCCGAGGAAGTTCGGCTTTCGGGTCTCACAAATTAACTTGAACACATCGTACTTGTAAAACAATGACGTAGAACATCGCCCCAGTTGCTTTGCATATCGATTCTAAGCCATAAACTATTCCCCACCAGGAACCACAACGTTCATTATCTTAATGCGAAATTGTTAAAAGTAAATTCGGGTTTAATAATAAGGTGACGAAGTTATTATGTCACGTAGATGATATAAACGTTCCTTAAACACATCCATCTGTTGGGATACCTGTAAAGTTATCATCCGGATAATAACTCAACCGGTAAAACGAACGTGACCCGCATACCCAAGGACGATTTTATCCCATCAAAACGTTTGTTATTCCAAAGGGGGACACACTTCACTGTATGCTTACTACCCCAGTTTTAGTCTTATCTCTCTTTTTCAATCCGAAGTCTTTGTTTAAATTCTCAACACAATTTCTATTTAAACCCAACAAACCAAGGTTTAAAAATTTTTTCCCTCACTCCTAGTACCTTCTTTAAACATTTCTCCCCCTCGACACACCATGACTCCTTTTCATTTTCTTTTCCCTCCTCTTTTCCGAAAACTACTAGATTACGAGGAAATGCTAATCAGTGTCAACGGTAAAGTGTGTTCTCGGTGGAGTCCAGCGTTCCAGGACCTTTGACCCGCTAGCGAACCAAATTATACGAGCGCTAGTTTAAACTGGATGACGTCGTCGGTTGAGGAGGAGGTGGAAAAAGAGGGCGATCGCGTTGAGTTTTTATTGTACAGGGAAGAGTAAGAGGATGATGGGGATATTGGGGAGCGGAAGCGGTAAAGTTTTGTTTTAATAAAAACGGACTGCGCGTTATTTATCATTAGAGGGGATGGTGGTTGTGTTATCTCGTGGTAAAAAGTTGGATTGGACCTTATGATGAATGTCGAGGTTGAAAATGTTAGTTATTTATTAATATCTTCTCTACAATAAAAATAATGGGGGATTTTATGAGTTTATTTTATTTTTAAAAATGGTGGAGGAGCCGGGATTTTTGTTTAGAGACATTTTTTTGCATCCCCATTCATAAATCGTTCTTTCAACCGCACAAAAAAATAATAACGGACGACTTTCATCCCCCCGCTACAAAATTTATAAGCTAGGTTTGCCACGATGACAAATAAATTGCAGCTGGTTCAAAACATTAAATCACCAAACCTGCTCAACAATTTGCATTTCCCAAACTGTTTCGGAATCGATTTTCTACGTCTCCATTCATTGAACAGTGATTAATTAATCCTTTCTAAATGTCTTAAAATAATTTCTCCTTTTATTTTTGTTTGAGTATTTTTGATCAAATAAAAATTGAATTGCGGAACAAGTTTTGCAATTTCAATCGCGAATGGAATGATCTCGTCGTCGCTTCGTATAGAAGGAGTACTTTGCATGGAACCGAAAATAATTTGACCGGACTGGATGATTCGCGAACTTTGGCAGTAACTTTGGAATTCGATTCACCTA